TGGCATTTTGGAGAATTCATGTGCAAGCTCAACACTTTTGTGAGTGTAGTCAACATGTTTGTCAGTATCTTCTTTCTGACAGCCTGGATGTCTGGATTGTTATTTGTCCATCTGGGTGGTGGTGTGGGCACACAACAAGAGGACAGTCTGCAAAGCTCAGCTAATGTCGTGGGCTTTGTGATCCCATTCCTGGTAATATTTGTCTCTTAAGTGGCCATAGGCATCCGTGTAATGCACATGTCAAGAACAAGTGTGGAAATATTAAGCAAGATAGATGTTGTTGCTCAAAGGTTAAAAGAGCCAGGCATTGAGGATATGAAATTATGTGTAGGCTAGTGGAAATGGATTTTATTATGACATATATACCTGTATACACAAGATATGTAATCATAATTACTCACATAAATTCTGTGCAATCATATATACTATGCACACTTACAATGAAGTGTCTTATATAGTGGAGCCAGCGTGCTTTAAAAGGTTGCATCACACGTGTTTTGGAGTCAATTGTGTTTATTTTTTACAGCTGAGTAACAAAAGCATCAGAGAAATCGAGAGAGGATCTTGACACAAGGAAACGGAATCATTTTCTCCATCATTTTTACATTCTTCATCTGCTGGTTGCCCTTCCATGTTTGCAATTTTATAGAATTGAAGGCTATGACTCACCCAGATCTTCATGGCATTGTTAAAATTGATGGTCCTCTAACTGTGAGTCACACTATGTAAATGATACTATGCACAAACCACAAAAGTATCTGTTAAAAATTTAAATTAAAAGCAAACAGGAAAAATTCATTCTTAAAAAAACATTGAGCACATTAATACATTAACATTAATTGTAGACCAATAAATGAGGAAATGCAGGAACCCTCAGCTGGGTCTAGGTATCTGCCTGCACACATTTTGGGTACATGTCTTTCTCACCTCGGGACTGGTTGTTTCTACATTAAATGAAATTATTTTGTTGCAGAAGTTGAAATGGTTATCCACTATTATTATTAGTAGTAGTATCTGGGAGATGCTTTTCTGCCAGATAGATATGTTATATTATAGAGGGTGTCATGGCTATTGGATGGATTCATGCGCAGAGTTCTTTGCAAACAACAGTGCTATATATATGTACAGTGAGTTGGGAGGGGGGTCCAGGGCTCAAGGGAGAGGGGGTAATCCACACACACTCACTCCTCTTCAGCCGCACTCGCTCCAAAACTCCACTCATGCTGCCACACACAGAAAGGGTCCATAATCTGCTCCAGGAGGGGGGTATGTACACACAGAATTCAACAATCAGTTCCATAGGCAAATATACACAGGGAGATCTTTAGATGAAGCCGAGAGCACGACCTCAGGAGATTCAATATTCCAGCGGTGAGCTGCTCTGTGCCACTGCCTTAAATAGCAGCTGGGGAGCTCAGCCAGATCAGCAGCAGGTGGTGATAATCACAGGTGCGTGGGCCAAGAGCAAGAACCTGTAACAAGCTCCGGCCAGGCAGAGAGAAGGAGAAAACCAACAAAACCTGTAGCCAGTGTGAACCAGCCAGAGAGACAGAGGGACCATGCCAGAGGGTACTAACACATGGTATGAAAGATTTCCCCTATCTATCCTTTAGCAAAGGGGCTTTAGTGTCTGTCTGTATCGCCAGTAAGAGGTGAGGGTGATGGTCAGGGTTATGCACATTGGATAACAATTTGTTCTCTTTGTGGTATTTTTATGAACTTTAAACAATGAACAATGAACAGAGTGTTATTCTGTTCCAAAAATGGTATTTTCCTCTTTTTGATACACAAAATGTATCAGAATCATCCTGGGAACTTTAACCGTTTATGTTAAAACAGAACATAAACAGTTCCCTCAGCTCCATGATATCTTCTTCACTCACACCATCAGATATTTGAGGCTGCTCAACTCCCCTCAAGCATTCTTCTCTGTCCATTTCAATAACTTTTTTTATGGTTATCACTGTAACAGGAAGTTGGTGGGGTCAAACTTTTAATTCAGACTGGAGCCTGTCCTTAAATTGCACACTGTAGTATGGAACTTCTCCCAAAGTCCATCATGGAAAAGAAGTACCGTATTTTTCGGACCATAAGGTGCACCGGATTATAAGGTGCACTGTTGATGAACGGGTTTTAAATGTTTCAATTTTTCAGAAATCTCTCAGTCAGAACATCATGTTTATATCATGTTTAGGTGGAAACTAGCAAGCTAACTTCCTAGTAACTTCTAACTCTGTTGAATTTAATCCATTCTGTTTTTGCCTGGATGTTAAACTTCATTGTTACACCTGGTAAAGCAGCAATGCTTATCATTTTATTAAAGATGAAAGAATTTTGACAGTTTTTAACTCTCAGTAATGCCGCAGCGTTCGTTTGACTTTGGGACCTGAAACAAAGTTTGGAGCCTCGGCTGGGCTCCTCACTACAATTTAAATTCTATTTCCTGGTTATTGGTTATTCTTGGTTTTGTTCGCTTGACTTTATTTTTTGTTCTGGTCTCTAGTTTAAGTCACTGTCTTCTCTGTGTTTCATGTGTTACATACTTTCAGTCAATCTCTCAGCCATTAGCACGGCCTGCACCTCTGCACCTGTTTGTCATCAGTTCAGTCCAGCCTGCAGTTATCAGCTCAGGTCCACTGTCTATTTAGCCACCATCTCCACCCACTCAT